AAGTGTAAAGCTTCAAATTTGTGTAATTATTTGCACATGATTTATTGTAAGAATGGGCTACGTAATACCCTTGTAAATGTATTTTAAACTGTATAAAAAAAATTGAAATCAATTGTGAAAATCCATTCCTTATATAGGACGGTCTCTCCTGTTGCACTCATAACCATAGAATTTTTTTCACAGGCAAACATGTTAGTATGCTTTGGACAAGTGAGAGGTTTTTGACAGTCTTTTTTTGACAACAATTCAATTTCAATAAACTTCAGAGTCCTGTTGCCCCGAAATTTAATCGCATCATCATATATTCTGGTTAGATTTTAGCCTTAAGATGTGCCGCGGATAGTTCTCGCATAATTTGTGGCACAGTGAGTAAAAAAAATTTCGATTACACACGCTATACGTATGCACTGTGAGCATTATGCACGAAAAAGAATAAAGATCACTATGAACGACACATTATTGGCCTTAAGCATGTAAAGAATATGCTTCTATCTAATAGAGCACATCAGATGAAATAAATAAAGGGAAACATACTAAATATTAAGATTGTTATATAAAATTCAATTGATTCTGTGTATTTATTTTTTTTAATTTTTCAACATAGTAAATTATCAATTTCTAGTGAATTTTAACCAAGGAAAAATGGAAAGCAGCTAGTGTTTTTTGAAGTAGAAAAATCAAGAATGTTTATTGTTGTCAAATTAAGTTTAATAAAACATAAATTATCTTCTTCTTTTATCATTTTCTCATGATGTTATGACGAGAACTTTCTTACAACGCAGTTATTTTCGAAATTACTTTTATGAGAAAAATTACCAAAAAGTATCTTGGATCGTAATCAATAGATATTTTACGGATATCCAATTATTCGCATAGGAATTTTACCTTACCATTATTATTGTTATGTATAATCGATGAATACATAGCGGATATCCGATATAGAGATGTTAATCGATTAATTTTTCGTAATCGATAATCGAAATCGAAATAATCGATTTTTACATTACACTTGATTTTTTTTCGATTTTTTCGATTAAATCGATAATCGATTTACAATCGATTATAAAACTTTGTCGATCACGTTTAATCGTGGAAAAATCGATTTTTGTATAATCGATTAACATCCCTAATCCGACAGCTATCATACCAGAAAAATAAAGTCACGATGAATTTTAAACCAAATATTTGTCTACTATTGAAATTTAAAAGGCAAATAATGACTGTAAAACAACTTTTACTTAACATACGAGGTTAAAAGAGAAGTTAGAGAAGTTAGCAATGAGGCCAAATTTGGTCTGGTTGTTCTATTCACTCTGACCAGAGAAAAATGAAAATTTCTCCAGAAATCATTTTCGGTATATTTATTTATATAGCGTAAAAACAACAAAAACGAGTCGTGTCCGAACGGTAGTTACTATTTAAGCACAAACAAATCAATCTTGTCGGTAAAGTGGACGGGCCCCTTTAAAATACCTTCTATTCTGAGAAAAAAACCATATTTCATTCTCTGTATAACAAGCACCTACTATAACAAACTTCTCTTTTATTGATCTCTCTCACTATTACCATATTAAACAAAGACACAAAAAATACATATATACGACAAAGTTTGTCATAGGGAACTTTATTTTAATATAAATAATTTTTTAATAAAAATGACATTTTGAGGATTGATTAATTATGATAATCTCGACTAAACAACTAATCATAATCAGTGTTCCAACCCGACTGACAGAGTTCAAAAAAAAAAAAATAATGATTTTAGATGCTAAATAATGTTTGGGATATAATATCATGGTGGGCAAAGATTGAAATTTTTATAGATGATTTTTCAGTTACTACTAATGTGTGTTAGGTACACCAAAAGAAGCTTTGAAAGCATAAAAAGATTCAGAAATTTACATATATAAATAATTAGATAGAAAATTATAATTTTCATCATTTTCATTTTTTTTCCAGATTGATACATTATTACTTGGAAATAGTGTAAATGATTCGACTGATTTGGTTGTAAGACTTGCATCTAAAGGTAGGTTCTTGGGACGTTCAAGTACATATGTTATAATATTCAAGTGTATGTGTATATGTATGTGTTTATGAACTATATCTCATAGTATAAATAATATCAAAAATCAATGGATGTATAATGATGACTTTAAGCCTGCTATATACGTTTACATGCATTGTAAATCCATGTAATTCTATATGTGATTGTCATTTGCAACCTTAATTATCGATCAAATTCATTTACTTTTGCTTCACAGCATGAATTTCTTTTAAAATTTTATGAAATCAATAAAGTATCATCCATTTATATTATACATTTAAACCTTGGATATGTACAGGATTGTGATTGTGATTGTGATTGGAATCAGAATCAGTAGTGTGACCTACATCAAAAACATTGTAATGGACCTCAAAAAAATACAAGCACCATGGAATGTCAACACATCAGCACTTACATTTTTATACAATGCATTAAAGGATCAAACATACATGAAAAACACATGGAAGCTTACACCAAAATGGCGTTTGGAATTAATAGAAAATTCTTTGGTGGCAGTAGTAAAAAAACTTATTAATAATAACAATAAACAAAATAATCTGATGACGGTGACATTTTATGGAAATTCTATGTATGCAAACAATCGGAATTGATGAGAGCCATCCAAAGTAGATAGAAGATATTCTAGTTAAAGCTTGGGAGCAATTGTGTGCCACGAATGATTAAATCATAATAATGTTAGTTAAAAATAACTATGAATCTTTTTCCAAATCATCAATCAATAATTATTATCATGGACACGAGCAAATGATCATGGAAGTTTTTGTAATATCAATATCGATATTGATTGTGTGTTACTTTACAATGATAAACCTTTAATTTTCCATCTTTATCTTTATCCTTATTGTAATGACCAACGAAAATTTCATTAACTTGAAGCAAAAAATAATTTCGGGTCCTCGCTTGAAAAGCAGAGGAAAATAAAACTCTGTGTGATAGAATAATTATTTTTATTAATAAAATTAATCTTTAATAAACAAACATAAAAATAAAAACGTTGTCTTTATTTTCTTTGATAAAAGCAACAAATGTAGTGCCTTGGTAGAAGGTAACAATTGTGAAGCTTTGATAAAAGTCACGTTTTATTTGCAAGCTAACGTTGCTTAACTGGTAAGTGTTAACAACGATTAGTAACGTAATTTGCTTTAATTAGTAAGCAAAGGTTAGAACTAATGTTAGTAACTAGCGAGTGTTAATGAAGGATCGTCCAGTTAATTGGAAATACTAGTAGTATTATTGTAATTGTAAACGTAAGGCTGTTTTAAATGAGCTACTTGAGTTGTTTTGCAAATAAATCAAAGAGAGTTGCAAATCGGCCAATAAATATAATAAACAATCGATCACAAGTGAATAAAAGGAACTTTATAGAAGCCTTTGAGCTTTGTAAAAGTTTCCATTTTATTTACTTACAGTTATTCGATACCATCAATTGTGCCAAAGGTGCAAGAAAGAGGCAGTAGGCAAGAACCAAAGTAAATTTGTAAATTAATTAATTGACAAGCATTGAATTATTGTCAGCTACTGGCAATTAATTGACAAGTGTGGCCCAAAAGTTAGGCCATAATTTGTGTTAAGCAAAAAGCTACCTTGAATATCACCCAACATTTAATAAGAATCAGAAAACTATAAAAAGTTTATTACTTCAAAAGATAAATATAACGAATGAATTTGTAGTGAAGATTAAATCAGTCGTTCGTCGATTCTTTCTTTAAATTATTAGAATCTAATGTTTATTATTAATCAATCGAATGTAAATAAAAATATTGTTAGTGATAATTCACGAATGGTAATTTCCGATTAATTAATAATAAAATTTTTATCACCTTCAACATTTAAGAGAAGAGAGTTAAAATCAAGATTATTTAATGAACTGTTGCTTGTATAACTTTTCAAGCTTTTAAATTTAGCAATCTCATCTTCTAGTATTCTACTTGAATGATATGCATCTGGATGTGATTTGTGTACTTGTTGCGAATCACTACCACTATTGCTGATATTATTATCACTACTATTGTTTTCACGAATTTCCTGATGTTTATCGATAGCAAAAATAGCAAGCTCTCTACTAGTTGGTCTTTTTGATGGATCCACATCCCAACATCTCTGCATCATTTGCACATAATCATCAGGCATTTCAGGTAGTATTGGTGGTCGTAAACCTTCTTCACATATATCAAAAATTAAACAAAAATCATGAGCTCTATCATCAAATGGTGGATGGCCTGCAAATATTTCCCACATTAACATCCCAACACTATAGATATCTGATTCTTTGGTGTTCTTTATATTAATTTTGCCTCTAAGTAGCTCGGGTGCAACATATGGTACAATTCCATAGATTTTATCTGATGACTTTTCATCAACTGGTCCACATAATCCCAAATCTGTAATAAAACAACAACCTCCTTGCAATAATATATTACCACTATGTAAATCACAATGGATTAAATCTTTTTCATGTATATCATATAATGCTTTACATAAATATCTAAAGAATGTAATTCTGTCTTTTAATGTTAAGTTTAAATGATTTTTTTGCAAATAACTCCTTAAATTTCCTTCTAGAGCATAAGGTAAAACAATTGCATAATTTCCATTATCTGGGAATTTAGTTATACCATGGCAAGGAATAATCCCTGATTTAATTTTATAATAATTCATTGCCTGAAAATAAATGTAAAATCAATTAATATTATATATAATATAGTATAGTTTTAAATGACAACTACCAACCTCATCAAAAAAGCTTTTTCCTGGATTACTCGAATAATTTAAATTTTTCAACACTACTAGTAGCCTTCCAAAATAACTAAATTCTTTTTTATTTTCATCATAATCAATTATATTTCCTTTTGTCCATGTAGCAGTATAAATTGAACTAAATCCGCCTTCAGTTAATTTTGTTATATTATAAAATTGCTCAAAAGGTATCCATTCTAAAATATGGTTTGGCAGAGATGATTTCATTTGACATTGTTGAATAAAATTATCAACAATGTTATTTCCAGACGTCCAAGTAGCAAAAAGACTCTGTAATTGTAAACTAATGCAACCTTCACAGAATCTATCGGAATATTTTGTCAATTTACACTTGTTACATTCTTTTTGTTTGCCTAATTTACCTCTTGCATTTCTTAATTCAAAATCATAAATAAACTTTTCTTTACAATATTCTTTTTCATCTTCAGAAAGCTCCTTGTTTTTGTTGACTAATGAAAAAAAATATTCTTTTCTAATTTCTTCACTAGAATTAGCCAGTGCATTATTATACATTTCAGCATTAATTTTATATACAAACTTCTCTCTTTCTAATGATAATAGTTTAATATATGACATTATAAATAAATGTTTTTAAAATTCGACTTGGTGTTTTAATGAGAAAATGAGAATTTTTTTTATTTTCCTTTTTGTGGAGAGTTGAATAGCGTGTGACAAACAATTCTTTTGGTGATGATAACATTATTTATTGATTTTTTTTACAATGAGGTAATGAATGTCACTAATAAATAATTACCTATTACGCCTTTTAGACTAATTTAATAAAAATTGCATTATTTAAATAACAACTTCAACATCAACAAGATTCAATGCTTCAACAATAAAGAATTTTGACATTCTTCTTTTTCTTTGTTTACTATTTTATCACTTTTAAAACTTCTTTCTAAATTAAAACTCGCAAACACCGCGTCTAACCTGTCTCATGTACTATGTAAAAGTCATTTTACGTACCAATTATTGATCAGCCTATATGTGTTTCTCTAAAGTCAACTCAGGCACATTATTAATGTTACTATTACCCGTAATTAACTTCAAAGTCAAAATTCGAAAAAACATAAGTTAAACAATTTATTTTATGAAATGTAATAATAAAAGAATAGCTTTAATTTGTAAAATAAATATAATTAGTCTCTCACAATTTAATCAAGTGGTTTTCCAAGTGTTTTTACTTACGTCAAGCATTTTTAATTACGTCAAGCACTTTTAATTACGTCAAGTGTTTTTAGTCACGTCAAGTGTTTTTAGTTACGTCAAGTGGTTTAATTACGCCAAGTAGTTTTACTTTAACCAAATCGTCAAAATGGCCCTGGCGAGAAACTATTCTTTTAGTCAATAATTAATTACCTCAATGACTAAAGTCTAAAGTTTCGTCATTACATGCAACCAAAATTTTTTTTTTTGTAATCTATCCGGGAATGTGCTCTATCCATTGCCTTCCGTGGCGAAAATATTTTCATCAATTGCTACAGTGTGTCTTGTGAAAAGTGAGCGCAAACGCATTCTGAATCGAAACTTGATTTCTGAAGTGTGTGATGCCTTTTTTGAATGTTTAATTTAAAAAAATATAGAATTTCAATGTAATATTAATATATTTGGGTGGCTGGAAGGTCACGGAGAAAACAAAATTTTTAATTATAATAACTCTTCAACTCTAATTTGCAAAAAACGATAAATCTGTGCGCCGATTGATTTTATACCACTGGATTGTAGTTCACACAACCAATAAAATGTTATTTTTTCTTGCTTTCTTTGGATCGTGATCGCGTGCATAAAGTTGCATAACTGATCAATATTATAATAATTAAATTTTGACGCGAAGAATTTTTTTAAAAAAATGCCAAATAATTTCGAATCTACTCCATTACATGATAAATCTTGTAATATTTTATTTGATAAATTAAAGTTTGGTCTGGTAAAAAAAAATAAACTTGTTATTATATATTATTACATATATGTATATTGAAGGATTAATCAATCAATTTTTATAATAGGCTTATATAATCTTACAAAATAAACCTATTGAAAATTCTATTGAAGGTTTAATATATAATTCTTTAAACATAATTTATTTTAAATAATAATAATAACATTATTATTATTATTAAAAGAATACATAGAATTTATAAATTACAAGTATCAAGAAGATTACAAAGATCACAAAATCAAAGAAGTCACCACCATCAACAGTCATGATGTCAAATTACGTAAAAGGATTTTAGAATTGGAAAATGATTGTGAAAATTTAAAGCAAAAGCTATGTTTAATGGAATTAGGTACCTGCTTTATTTATATTTCTAGAAAATCAAAAAATGTGTGGTTTTGAAATAATTTTTCCTCGTCTACAAATTAGAACTGAATTCTATAAAGCAAAGCATTAATTCAAGTAAAAGAAGGAAATCAACAATAATAGAAACAAGAGGCGATCAAATGAACTCTATTATTAACATTAATGATTTGTCAAATAAAAGCGCAACAACTATTAATACAGTAGATAACGGTTCACAAGATTTTGATTGCAACTTGTTTCTGAAATTACCTTTTAATGGCGATAAAGATGATTGCAATTAAAATTGAATTTTCCATTAAATTTTCTATAATGGTTCTATGAAATTATGAAATAGCAATAATTTTAATAATAATAATAATAATAATAATAACATCGTCATCATTATTGTCATCATCATTGCCCAAATCCCAAATGTACAAGTGAATTTGGGGCTAGTCTGTCAAAGAGCTCCCAAATTCCAAACTACTTTGTACACCCACATAGTACTCTGTCTCCTAACCAATAAGTGCCTAGGATTTGTGAAAGTGATCAACAGCCCTTTGTTGCACTATATCCTTATTGGTTAGGAAAAAGATTGATCTATAGTACATTTGGGATTCATTTTCACGTACAACATTATCATAAATTTAGCTGATTATTGAATTGAGTTATCATTATAATCAACGACTAAAATGTCAATATTTAAATGAAATCCTTGCTCTTGAAGTCAGTACAAATAAACAAGCAACAAGATTAACATTCTAATGTTTTTAATAGCATTTTAACATTTGTTTGATTTTCAATTTTTAAAAATTAGGCAATATATTTCACAAAATTCATATATGAAAAATTGATCCACACCATTCAAGTATCAATGGTAGACGAAATCACTGTATATTTCATTAATGATGATGATGATAGTAAAATTTTTTAATAACAATGCTAACAACACTGAAAATCAAGCACTTGCCTCCTATAAAAATTACTTTTTTGATAACAGAAAATTATCCATTTGATGAAACATTAAAATTTAATCTCAAATGTTGTTGGTTGAAAATGATTCAATAAAGCAATTGGAAAATCGATTAGAAAAAATTTGGCAAGAAAAGAATGTGGTATGTGTTGATTGCTTCTAGTGACAATAATGGTGATAATAACAATAATAACACTAATAAATATAAAGCCATTTTAAATTATTTACTTTATTGATTTATTTCTTTGCTTTATTATTTATTTATATATAAGTTTTATTTCACTTTGCTGAATTTATTCAAAATAATAATTTAGATTTTTTGAATATATCATCACTGTCAATTCCTTCTGATGATTAGTTAAAAGCTATAATATCAAAAAAAAGTATTTTTGAAATTTTTAATTAAACTTTTATACTAACACATATATATTATATATTTCCAGAATACAATGATTTAAATCAATTATAAGCACAAGCCTTATATCAAGATTTTATAAGCAATCATTTAAATTGTGCAATTTGCCTTGAAGAAAAACTTAAATCTTGTCAACACGTGTTTTGTCAAAATTGTATTTGTAAATATTTTGAAATGTTGATCAGGGAAGGATTAATCACACAAGTCAAGTGTCCTGAACTAGGTTGTCAATTAAACATATCTTAGCAATAGAAGAAATTTCTGAGATAGTTGATAAAGAAACTTCTGATAGATATTTGTATTTAGTAGAAAAGCAAAAACTTGAGACAGATCAATTGATCACCTATTGTCCTCAAAAATTATGTCAAGCTCCTGTTAGAAAGCTCTATGATAAATTATGTGTTTGTCCAAGATGTTTTTTTGCATTTTGTTGTTGGTGTGAAAAAACTTGGCAAGTTTATCAAAAAAATTTTTAATTAATTAATTACTATTTCTATTGATAATCAATCAATATAAATTTTTATTTATTTATTTTGAAAAAAGGTATGGTTCATATATATAATATTCATAAAATAGTAAGTGATTATATGAAAGCAGATGGGGAATCGAAATTTAATTTTGAATTACGTTATGGAAAGAAGAATCTAGAGAAACTGGTTAGGGATGCTAAACAGAATTGGAAACATCAAAATGGTTAACATGATGCACAAAGTTGTTCAAGTTGTAAAGCCATAATTGAAAAATCAGTGGTTTGTAATCATATGATTTGTTCATGCTGTTGTACACATTTTTGTTATTTATGTAGAAATGCTCTAAATCCAGGTGAACTTATAAACATTTTAATGATTTGAAATCGCCTTGTAATCAAAGATTGTTTCATATAAATGAGTATAATAATATATATAGAAACAGTCTGATTATAATCAACATCCTCTGGTTTTTACATTTTATTTGGCACAAGAAAATTTATTTATTTATTAGAATTCTTTACTTGTATATCTATTTAACTATATTTAATTAATATAATGAAGATTTATAATTGATTTTGTGGAAAGGCATTTATAATTTCCAAGGACACAACTTTCAAAAGCGAACTTAACCATGCAGGTTGATTTGAGTACATCAAAACTTTTATATATTGTATAATTTTTATTAATTCGACAATACAAATAATAATGAAATTATTTTTCACTGTTGACCAACACAAATAAAAATCGTATGAAGTTTTGGAGCACCTAATGATAAATAAATATTTGTAAAATTTTTTTATTTTGCTAAACTTGAATACGGAAATAACAGTATTGTTTTTTATCCATAATAATTATTTCTTTCCCAATTCTATAGTGCTAGCAATAATCTTTTTACGTTTAAATTTTCATTTATTTTTCCCAACCGCAAAATAATAATAATATTTTTTTAACGATAACGACGTAATGATAATGTATTACGACGTAACCAACTTGAGTGACGGCCACCACCTGTTGTCTTATTAAATCTATGACCTTTACCAATTCCACGATTTTTCTTACCAATACTAGTAAGACCTCTGGATTCACGATGTTTATGTTTAGCAGACGCAATCCAATTGATTCTTGGGTCACGACGAATCACTTTATGATTAGGATCAACGAGAATCACTTCATAGTATTTGTAAGTTGAATCCTTAATTAATTAATTAATCGACCAATTAATTAACTTCAATAATAATATTATTATTTAATGGCTCATGATTATTATGAATATTTTCTTCTTCATACCTGATTAACCCAATAAGAATTTAAAACGCGCAAATTACTACATCTACGACCAACACGTTCTTCGGCAGTTGCTTTAAGAGAACGTTGATACTTGAGTTGATTTATACCTTGATTTACTGGTTTACCAAATGTAGCACCTTTTGGTACGGGTCTTTTACGACCACCACGTCTAACACGAATGCGATAAATAACGTATCCTTGCTTTGCCTTTTAAATGCAAAAATAATATATGTATATTATGTTAACTTATATGTAAAGTGTGAATTATTACTAATATGCAATATATCTATATATAAGCGTGTATACCTTATAACCTAATCTACGAGCTTTATCAGGTCTAGACGGACGAGAAGCTCGGTGCACAACATTTAATTGTCTAATTAAATATATTTAAAATTTTGATGTTTAAAATCAATCATTGGCAAATGAAATATTTATGTTCCAATCCTGCATATATGTTCTCTTTTTATTAAAAAACTTTTTTTTTTTTTTTTGAACATAAAGCTTTTTATTTCATGCCTAAAATTGTGTAAGCTAAACTAGCTACCTGTATTCCCAACATCTTACACGTAGTAAGAAGCGAAGAACATCAGACTGTTTCTTTTTATAAAGTTCTTCGAGATACTTGTATGCTTTATATATATATATATATGTATAATGATTAAAATTAATTACTAAATAAAAATTATTTTTAAAAATGATACATACCACCCATTATTGATATATTTATTGATTTTTGTAAAAAAAAAAAAAAATGATCTATATATTAAAAAAAAAAAAAGGCTACACAATACATTCGTGTTACAGAACGATTTTTTAAAAATATCTCATTCTAAAACTTTTTAACGAATACACTTTCATATTGAAAGTTCTTCTCCACATAAATATATGGCTATTCAAAAATAGGATTAGCTTTTCGCTTCAAAGCTAAGAATATCACTTTAAAAATTTGAGAAGACGTAAAATACTCTAAGCTTTTATATGGTCATTGAGGAATTCACAAAAGACAATTTTATAAACACTTTAATACTATATAGTTATGTCAATATTCAATGGTTTTTTTAGGGACCTGACAGATGTTATTTGATTATTTAAATATTTAGCGGATATCACGTGATCGCTATAAAATCAGAAATTTGACCTCAGTATCTTGGTTAATATTAACAGTAAATAAAATGTCTGCTAAATCGAGTGAGATTCATTGTATATAACAATCTATGAATGGAATATGAAAATTGGATTGGAAATTTGTTAATTAATAGATCTAAAATTGATTGACGACATTGATGTGATTTGTTTTGCTCACTTGCTTGCTTTGCTTGCACATGAGGACCACACTATTGAGGAAACTTTGATGTGGTTTTGCTAACTTTTAGTATCATTGACCATGGAGAGAGATAGGTTGTCCAAAACCTATTATTTAAATCACTAATTCTCTTTCAACTTTTAAATTCCCTAAGGCACCAAATGAACCACCTAATTTTTGATTTGAATTTATAATGATTTGATTTGACATATACCATATGAAATAAAATATTTACCTAGTGCAATAATTGCATTAGGCTTTTCCATGATTGTAAAATAGTCACTTCTTGTTCTTTTTTGAACACATTATGCTGTGTCTGTTGAAGAAGTTATTGAAGAAGCATTATTTCCAATCATTCATCATATTTATTGCTTTCTATTTGTTATCATTATTAATATTAATGTTAACAATACAGTAATCCTTGTTTCAATGAATTATAATTGAATTTAAATTTTTTGCTTCAATATAAAATTCATTGAAATAAGACTAACAAATAGGAATTACAATATCAATTAAAAATTTAAAATATATTAATATGACATTAAAAAAATTAGGAATCTGGTTTGACCTGAATCGAATCCAGTTTCTTTGAAATTGATTTGTTCAGCCTTAAGCCTATATCTTCAACCACTAAGCCATTCATTTATGGTAATATACAGTATATGGATTGAAGCTGGGTGGTTGTCTGGATATTTTGCTATTAAATGGTAATGATTGCAAAATAGACAAATTCTCGTAACAGAGAATCATAGATTTTAATAAGCAAGTCAATATAAATATTGTGAATCTGACCATAAAATGGATAAATGGATGTTTTCCTCTGAAGTTCATGTTGTGCATGTTATCCATGACAAGTGTTGTACCAAATTTCATTGATTTAAACTTTTTTGTTTTGCTTCCAATTCAACCTTTAGAAGAGACTTTTCAACAAATTAAGAAACAGATTAGGGAATAAAAATCAATAATATTGTATGTATATATTGAATATGAAAAGGCCATTTTTCTTGAAAGTAGGTTACACTTGCAATTGTTCATCAAACAGAAAACCTGTGTTGGCAAAAGAATCTTACCTCTTCCCCAGAAAACCTATCTTAGTTGGACATACTTGTTTTGAAAATGTTAGAAATCATCTGATAATGAATGATCTTATATCAAGGGTTCAAGCTTATTCATGCAACCCAAAATTTTTTCCTGAAATTCAAAATTTAATTCACTGTTAAAAAAAACATTATTTCAGATTAGAGTCCGAATAATTTTGGCTACTATTACTATTAAAATTATTACTATTACGATTATCACTATTTACCATCATTATCTATTATTACCATCGCTATTGTTATTGCTATTACTATCTATCACTATCACCATTACTATTACTATTACTATTACTATTACTATTTAATATTAATATCGAAAATTGATTTTGGCGATGATCGTCATAAATTTGCCATTATCCAAAAAAATCATTTAAAATAAATTTTGTAAAATACAATAAAAGACATAACAAATAACAGTCTCTCACCTCAACAAAAAAAAACATGCAACAAGAAAATTTAAAATTTTATGGACCAACAGAAATGAAAAGTGAATATTCTCTAATGATAACGGTTATTCGATCTGCAATAACTGAAATGAAAGAAGTAATTGAATTTATTTCCAAATATAAAACTTTTAACCATACATATTAATTTTTTTTTACTTTTTTTTCCTAAAAAAAAGAAGGGTTATAATGATAACTATAATCAACTTATTAAAAGTTTAAAGGAATATTCAAAGGGCATAGTGGATATAAAAAAATTACGTGTTTGGATTATGGCCTTTGCTCACAATGCTTTCCATTTAGATGAACGTTGTACGGATTTGATTGACGTGATTTTCAATCTAAATTGGACAGAACATGATAACAATCTTGCATTAGCTTACATAATGTTCTTATCGAATTTGATTTCATCTAATCCTTCTCTTTATCAAAACCGTGTATTACAAATGTTGGTACAAAAATTTGCCTTCAGTATGTAAACACCATATTATTTTTGAGTTGATTTTAGTAGTGGTGATGAGTAGAGTAGAATCAGAAGAGTTTTGTGCTAAACAGATCTTTATTATATAATTATATACCTATATATATATTATAGGACCTGATGAAACAGGAAGAATACCGAATAATCTTGAAAAAATTAATGGAAGAGTTCATACAGCTGTGAAAAGTATTATAAAAATAACTCCGAATTCAGTTGATCTACTTTACAAATTGATAGTTGAAGAATTTCCACACAAAGCAGAACCTTTATATGTTCATATAACTTATCTAAAAAATTTGTTGCAACTTTTGGAATACACGAATAAATTGCAATCTGATGTTTTACAACTAATATTTAGTCAGTTGATTCAAATTGATGTATGTAAATTTATATTTTAAATGAAAATATTTAAAATCCCATATATATTAAATTGCGTATATATATTTATTTATTTATTTAATATAGACAGAGATACAAGGAAAATTTAATGATATAAAAGATTTAGAAGATTCAATTCCACAGTATGATATATCACTTTATGGCGATGGAAATAATTCAGATTCTTTAAATTCAATGGTATATCAAAAACTATCAACAATCCAAACCGATTTGTTGTCGTCCTCACAAAGTCATCAAAATAACGATGTCAATTATAATGATTTTAATATGTTAACAGGATATGATGATGAAAGTGATGGTGATAATATGGACAATACTTCACAAATGGTCACAATACTTGACATTAAAGATTTATTAGAAAAGTTGGATTGTATGATGAAGTTGTTGTTTGATTATTTAAGTTGGTGCTATAAAAATACTACAAAGAAAGGACAAGAGGAAATTTACAGAGTTTTGATGAATGTTTTTGAAAAGAGAATTTTGCACACTTGTAAATCGCGATATGTTCAATTCATAATTTTTTGGTACGTTTCGCTTGACTATTCATTTTCAAGGCGTTTTTTAACACTAATTTTACGAAAAACATTTGGGGAACAAGAATCAGAAATCATTAGATTCTCGGCAACCCAATATCTTGCATCGTTTGCTGCCCGTGCCAAATTTCTTAAAAAACAAGAGTTACGTCAAATATTTCATATTGTAGGCAGTTGGATTGAAAGATACATATGCAAATATAAAGTGTCAGTTGCGCACAAACAAGCCAAACAAAATAAACATTTCTATTCAGTGTTAACAGGTATAATGTACATCTTCTGTTATAGATGGAGCGATCTCGCAAATAAAAATGGATGGTGTAAAGAAACTGATTGGATCAAAACTATTCTAAATTCAAATTTTAAACCTTTGGAGGTTTGTTGTTTTGATAATTATTTATTTTTCGTTGGTTGCATTTTCCTTCTCTCTCTATTAAATAAGTTTTTTTTTTCAAAATAGATGTGTGCACAATCTATTGTAGAAGTATTTATTTACATAACGAATAAAGTGAACTTTTTACAATGTAATGCGAATTATGGAATTCGTCATGACGAAGAGGAGGAAAGTTTATGGGAAATGTCAAAATTTTTTCCATTTGATCCTTTTGGACTTAAAACTTCACAACATTACTTAAATGATATATATATTCATTGGGAGGGGTTTTCAGAATAAAAATTTTTCCATAATAATTAATATACTCTAAAAAAATTTTCATTTATAAATAATACAAAAATATCTTTTTATTTTGCACATATAGAAAACAACAATAATAATTAATTTAAATTTAAACAGTCCACAGTGTAACAATGATAAATCAAGTATTAAATTTGTTTGTATTTGTAAACCCAACTTTGGTAACCTTCCTTTTCCCTCTCTCATCTTTTCTCTTTATTTTTACTTCTCTTCCTACCGTTAAATTTTTTTATTCCATTTCTTGTGGTTTACTTACATTCTTTCTTTTTTGGTGAGTTTTTTTAAACTTATAATATATATTTTTATATTTTATATATTTATACTTATAATTTTTTTTTACCTTAAAAACATATAAATAAAAAAAGGCAAATTTTTTATTTAATAGTAATAAGAGAGGGCACTTAAAGGGGTTTTTGTTGAAAAAGGTAATTTGAAATTTTTTTTATAATGAAATCTTGCTTTCAATTATTTTTTTTTGAAAATAGATCTTTTTCTTATTTTAATGTTTTATTAGTTATAAATCATATACACATTGTATACTTGTTTTTTTATTATTTAATTCCAATTTTCATTTCAGCATTTGTACAAATACAACAATAAATAGCTATATAACAAAATATATAGATAAAACAAATAATGATGCATAGGCATAAACAACAAACTCTATCAGAGCTAAAACTTCGTCGAGTCTTGGAATTTAATCAAAGATTGCGGGAAGATTTAGATCGTCCACGAGTCAAAGTTAGCCAAGCTAGCAAAAAGTATTTAATTTATTCAACTTACACTTTTTTTATCTTTTTCATACTAAAGATTTGATTTATATATTTAATTGAATTATTAATT